ATGCATCAAGAACTCCAATTACATTTTACATCCACATAAAAAAAACCTTTTAAAATTTCTATTTTTTCCACCTCATTAATTTTTTATATATTTATAAAATAAAATTATATTTTTCAATCATATTTTATTCTATTTAATAAAAATAAAACAATTATTTAGCATAAAGAAATAAAATAATAATTTCACACTTGCACAATAATTAAAGTTCAAACTCAAATTTAATAAAAAAAAAAATACATAATATTAGAATATATTTTTCAAATAAATTAAATAGCTGATTGACCAAACTTATCCCAAATATGTTCAACTAAATCCGCTTTGAGCTAATGGTGTGTTTCCCTAGCTCAGAGTTGTATTTTATTCCATAGGTATTGCTCCATAGTTGCATGTCTCGTATTGTTGTATGACCAATTCGAGTTAGCAATTGTCTCCACTTGATCATATTGAGATGTATCGTAGTAATGCATATAATTGTTTCTTTCATCTTCTATAATCATTTGATGCAATATGATGCATGTTTTCATTATTTTACTTAGTAAATTGATATCTCAAAAAAGTGATAGGAGTTTTAATGAAGGCAAACCGAGCTTTTAATACAGCAAAGGCACGCTCCACATCTTTTCGAACCGCGTCTTGATGTTGCGCAAATAATTGTGCTTTATAACCTTGAGACAGACGAATTGATTAAACAAAGGTTGCCCACGAAGGGTAAATTTCATCAGTAAGATAATATCTCATATTATATTGATGACCGTTGATAACAAAATTAACTTCTGGAGCTCTTCCATTTAAAACGTCGTCAAATACCGGAGATCGATCAAGTACATTAATGTCATTGCATGTACTTGGTGTACCGAAAAATGCATGCTAAATCCATAGATTGTATGACGCTACAACTTCCAATATAACTATAGGTTGCCATGATCTCCACGTTTGAATTGTCCTTTCCAAACGGCCGGACAATTTTTCCATTCCCAGTGCATACTATCAATACTTCCTAGCATACCTGGAAAACCATGTGTCTCTGCAACAAATAATAATCATTGTATATCAGCAGGATTTGGACGTCGTAGGTATTCATCACCAAATAGAGAACATATCCCTTCAAAAAATTGCTTCAAACATGCCCTTGTGGTGCTCTCCCCAAGACGAAGATATTCATTAACAGTGTCAGTAGTTGTGCCGTATGCCAATACACGTATTGCTGTTGTGCATTTTTGTAATGCTGACAATCCATCTTTTCCTGTAGCATCACGCCATTGCTGAAAGAACTCCATTTCATTGGAGAGGCGATCTACGATGCGAAGAAAGACATGTTTTCTCATTTAGGAACTTCGACGAAAATAAGAACTTGGATACACGGGGTTATCAGAAAAATAATTATTGAATAATCGAGTATGGTCATCTTCACGATTTCTCTCTATGTATGTTCTCCGTCAACGTTGCCGTGAGCTTCCCTCATTTTCATTGTTGATATGCTCAATTTCTTGATACAATTGAGCATATGTTTTTGTCCATTGACACATATTTTTCAACTATTCATCGGATGAATGAAATAGAAATAAGGATGAGGTAAACATTATTTTGGGAGAAAATAAATGTATTTTAAAATAAGAAAGGTTGAACTATTGTGTAAATGAAGTATGTGCATATGAATTGGTAACATCTATATAAATAAATAATTAGTCGTTGGTAATATAGCCGTTGGGAATATAGCCGTTGAGAATATAACCGTTGGAAAATATAGTCATTGGGAATATAGCCGTTGCAATGTTTACTATAAATACACTACATACTCACTTCATATCATCTACACCATCTCCTTATAATCTTCTCTTTATATTTTCTCCTGAATTTCCCCCGAATGGATCCCAACTCTCAAAATTCATCCAACTCTTAAGATTCCCAATATTCTTTTCGATTTCCAAGTTTTATGAATATGTTAGGAAATCAAAATGTCCTATTTCAACCATTCAATCCTCCACCATATTATCAAATTCCTCCAAACTTATATCATCCAAATTTTCAAGCATTCAGAAGTTCATCATCTGCTCAATTCATGATGCAAGCTACTGAAGCAATGGACACCCCACAATACTACACACCTATTAATTTAGCAAATGATGATGTTTCTGAAAATACAAAAAAAAAATAAAATAAAGATACGAGGAAGGTGTGGAGTTGGACCGAAGATGAATTTCTAATTAGTGCATGGCTAAACACAAGTAAAGATACCGTAACCAACATTGACCAACCAAATAGTGCTTTCTGGAAAGGAATCGCATCGTACTACATAGAGAACAAGCCCGAAAGTGCAACAAGCAGATGTGTTACACAATGTAAAAATCGTTGGAGTAAAATATGTAAGGTTGTGCAAAAGTTTTTTGGGTGTTATGAGGAGGCTAATCGAAACGTGGACAATCAAACAAGGATGTCCTCAATGCAACAAAGAAGATATATTCAAATGACGGTGAGAGCAAAGGCTTCATCTATGAAGATGCTTGGTGTATACTAAAAAATGAGCCCAAATGAAAGGTCAGTTACTGTGAATCATCTCATAACACTGGTGGAAGTTCAAAGCGAATAAAAACAAGTAAAGATGGTGGTTACTTAAGTTCGTGTTTGGCAACACCATACTTTGATGTGGATGACCCAACTCCTCATACTCGCCCACCGGTATTAAAGCAAGTAAGAAGAGGGGGAAACATATGCAAATCGAGGAATTCAATTCAAATCCTATTAAAAATTATGAAAAATTTTACGAAAAAAGCCGCGAATTTAGCTCAAGTATAGAACATATGGCAGCAGCCAAGGAGCAAAGTTTGAAGCAACAACCCGATAAATAGAAGCACTTCTGAAAGCTAAAAGGTTAGACAAAACGGCGAGTAAGATTGATCGGGATGCTAAACAACTACAACTTACTTCAAGGAAGATGAAAATGCTTATGATTTTAATGCCAAAGGTGATGATAATCTAACTGGTTTTGAAAAAGGAGTGAAAAAAGGTTGGCGCGTGAATATTTTCCGTAAGTTTGCATTCAAATTTATTAGTATTTATTTTCATGTATTTTTAATTATTATATGTATTGTTTGTAATTTTAATTAAATCGTGTAAGTTTAAGCAATAATTATAATTAAATTAATACTAGATATCAAATAAATATTTTATAAAATTATTCACTAAAAAATATATTTAAAATACAAAAAATATATATATATTTAAATTTCTAATTATTAAAAATATTAATTTTATAAAAAAATTAAATATACTCTTTAAATTAAACAAATTATTATAGATATAATATGTATATATATATACTTTTAATATTTATTAAGTAATAAAAAGAAACACACCTGCCTACTCCAACGGGAAGAAGTAGAGGAAGAATAGATCATTCACAGTATGCGATTTTTGCTGTCATACTTATTGTTACTTTTCTTTTAAAAAATAAATGCTGATGTAGGGGAGCGCATGGTCTGAGGAAGGCATCTCTTCGTTGCTGGTGGTCTAACCCTACCCTATCCATTTTTTTTTTTTTTTTTTATATTTATTATAAGGTAAACTGTTTTTTTAGTCATGTAACTGACCACTTATCATTTTAGTCATGTAAGTGGAGTTTGTCGCAAACTAGTCCCATAGGTGAAAAATTTTCGCTGTTTTAGTCCTTCGGCGTCGGAGACGCCCGCGTGGCTCGCCGGAGGTGACGTATCAGCCAGGTGTCCCGCCAGGTCAGCGACGCCTGGCGGACACGTGGATTTATTTTATTTTTTTCATTTTTTTTTATTTTTTTAAATTAAATCAAATTAAAAAATTAAAAATATATAAATAAAATTAAAAATAAATTAAAAATAAGTTTAAAAAAATATTTTAAAAAAATTTAAAAAAATAAAAAAATCCATGTGTCCGCCAGGTCAGCTCCAGGTGTCGCTGACCTGACGGACACGTCACCTCCGGCGAGCCACGCGGGCGTCTCCGGCGTCGGAGGACTAAAACAACGAAAATTTTTCACTTATGGGACTAGTTTGCGACAGACTCCACTTACGAGACTAAAATGATAAGGGGTCCAGTTACTTGACTAAAAAAACAGTTTACTTTTTTTTTATTATTATTTTATTAACATGAGAAATTACTGTGGCTATTCTTCAAGTATGCTATGCTAAACTTCCGACCGAATCTAATATCCTGTAAATTAAGCCGGATAAAGTTGTAAATAAAGTAAATAATTTTGTTTGATTTGATTTGGTATTCAATTCGAAATTTTAATATTCGTACTCTAAATTTTTATTTTCGTTGTCTCTTTCTATTTTTTCTGAAAAGTATTTTACGGTTTATAATTTATAATTTTTTTTTAATTTTTATTAAACTAAATTATTTGTATTATATTGTAATAAATTTTACTAATAAATTTTTAATTATTTACTAATCATACTCTTTCTAAATTCTCTTGTCTATAGTAAATATGATACATATATGGAACAGAGGAAGTATAATATACATACAGATGTAGTTTCCAGATTAAATAAATCAAACTAAATTTATTTATACCATCATTTTAAATTTTATATATAAATAAATATATAATATAATTAAAATTACAATTATTCAATGATATTTTTTTGTGAAAACAATAATGATTTGTCAATTTGAAAAAAGATACATGTAATTTATTTATTTATTTATTATTATTTTATTATTATTATTATCAAATTGTCTTAATATTGTTGAATTTGTCTAATTACAAAATTTCAAATCCAACCCGGTAAGACAAATAACAAATCAAATCTTGAATCGAAAATTTAAATAATATTATTAAAGTTAAATTTGAAAAATTAGAATCGAATAATTTGAAAATTATTTCGACTTGAATAAATATCATTTTAAAATTCAAAACAAATCGAATAGTCAAATATTTTTATACATCAAATCGAATACGACAATATTTGCTTCAATTTCTTTAGTATCAACTCTAAGGATAGCATTAAAATGCACAGATAAGAAGCTTCATCAAATTTCTTTTCTTCCCAAGCAGATGCAAACATCTCATCTCCATCTCCATCTCCAAAACAAATAAATTTAAAATTTGTGCTCTTAAAGTTTGGAGCTCTAACCCAAAACAATACATACCTTAAAGCATAAATTCTAACATCTCGTTTAAGGAAGACATGTATGATAGATAGAAATGATGATGCACAGCATACAGCCACCCCGCCAGCCACCGGAGAATGCACAATCATCTTATCTTATACCTGCCCGACAAAACCAAAACAGGCGTGTTACTACAACAATTGATACACACACACCAATTCCGGTCCGAATTTAACAAGCTCCATGGAAACCATTGGCAAATCTGACTTTTAATTAAAGAAGAAAATTAGATAGTGCCGAATAGGCTGATATTATTATCATTACAGGAGACAGCTTGTTGATTGATTATTACACAGATTCACGCTGTCTGATCAAGACTACAGAAAAATTCTTAATAACACTGACAAGTTGATCTAAGTTTCTTTAGTCGACACTTGACTACAAAACAACAATGATTCAATGTATTTTTACATTCCTAACTCAAGCTGTCGTAGACTTTTGTATTGAAGGTCATGACCGAATATTTCTTTATTTGTAAAATTTATTACATCAATATACGAAAATGAAGTCCTAATAAATATTTGGTCTGTGTTTGTGTTTTTTGTTAAAATAAATAGTAGCTGGGTGTGACGTTCTATGAGAAGAAATAGTGAGTTTTTATAAGTAATCTTGAGGATTGCACAGTAAGAAAACTGAAAAGAAAAGAAAAAAGAACAGTTATGTCTATGGGTTCAGATGTTTTTGTTTAAACAATCACTTTTGGATTTTGGCACTATTTAAATTTTTCAAAACATCACATCCAACGTATTTTTCTCTCACAAAATATCATATCAATTACCAACTTTCTACTATTTCTGAAATTTCAAAATTCCACAACTCTCCAAAAATCCTTGTCAAATATATTTTTCTCTCGCAAAGAATCATATCAATTACTCCTTACAACCTCCGACTTACATTCACTTTTGTATATAATCACAAGATATATTTATCATAATTTATAATAAACTAAATATTTTTAACAATAAAAACTACTTGATTCTTATTCGATTTAGCCTAAAACAAACACTAGTTTACACTCCCAGAAACTTAATACTATAGTATCAAAGTATTCAGCACCCTAAGCAATAAATGATAATACGACAGGCTGATCAACTTTAATTTAGTTATTACTCCAGATTTGGGGATTCTATAACAATCATTAATTTTAAACAACTTTTCAAAAATGTGATAAAATAACGACAATCCCATCTTCAGAGCTAACTCCAATAACTCCTCTGAAGCACAAACCATCCTAGAAACTAAAACCAGTCTCTAATCAATGCTCAAGGCTAAAATTGCAAGAAAACGTTAGGTTAGGTAAGAGCATGCCTGATTGTTCGAGGTGTGGTCACGGAGCCTCTGTGGCTGCATATTCAGATCAATCATTCTGGCTTCATTTTCAATAGCTCTATCAGCATCAACATCTATGTTTGGAACAGGGGATACCACGTGATTCGGCCGATCATCATCATCAACCATTCGTTTGTCTGAGAGACTATGTTCGCTCTTATTGTTACCTGCCAGAGCAGGCTCGGCTGTTGGACCAGATTTATCTCCCGGAAACTGACATACCAAGAAAAATAGAAAAAGGAAAACAAAATTTCAAATCAACTTCGTGCGAAATACAGAACACCCATTTAAAAACCGAAAAGGCTTGAGAAACATACCAATTTACCAAAAAAAGAACCCTAGAAAATTGTTCCCCCCCCCCCCCCAAGGTAAATAGCACTAATTTGAAATGCATTAAAGGTTCAACATATAGCAGGAGGTTGTCCAGTCAATTAGTATTCCGTAAGAGGCAATTTCTTATTGACTTACTAGAGAAGGGGTGGGACCGATTAAACCAAAAAAGTTTTAGAACGAACAAACCTCAACTCTTTGTCTTAGCAAAAGATATCTCCGGTGGGTTCTCTTGCCACCAACATGTACGACTGTATCACATTGCAAACAGAGGGAACTACCATCCACCTCACAGTAAAAGAATGCTGGATAACACAAATGAGCTTTAAGCTAAGCGTCAAAGCAAGTATGTAAATGAAAGAGAAGCAATTACGTGCGCGCGCACACACACACAACAGATACATATATATATATATATATATACCGCCAAAAGCACAAGACAGACATTCATGCATTACCAGGTGCATTTTCACAAATATCACATTGGGGCACGCCAATTGGATTAGCAAGCCCCACTCTTACATGTCTACTAGCAAGCTTGTTGCACATATGGACCTGCAACCAAGATTCACACATTTCAGAACACATGTTTGTGATAGTATTAAATATGTGTGCATGTATGTCTATCTATGTTATGCCCCAAGTCCTTAATTTAATTTGGGTGAAACAAAAATTCATAAAACTAATGATGATAATGATTGTTCACATACAAAGAGATAGCTACCTAACGCATCTTACATCTAATCACCATGAAGACAGATAGACAGACATAACCAAACTATAACCTTGTATGGATTGTGGTAACAGATATGAAATCTGTTCTATCCATAGGGTCAACCTTAATCATGGAACCAACCACTCCGGTATGAATGGTGATGAATGTATGTAGTGCACTAGACTAGTGTGAACTAATTATACCACACCATGTTTGAAATCAATTGTTTCTAAGTGTTTCCCATTGAAACTGATCTTTTCTTTTTTTTTTTGAATGAATTATAATATGGTAATCCAAATGATCTCTACGATCGGCAAAAGCATGGGAAAGAATTATTAGATACTGAAAACAGTTGTCATCATCCTCCCTCAAAAAACAAAATCATAAGCAACCGGCACGGCGGCAGAACATCACTCAGACCATAACATTCAGTTACAAGATCCCAATACACACACGAAAACAAGAAGCATTCAATTGAAGCATGAAGAACGAATAGGAAGGAAGGATGGGTTGCCTTATCATCACAGGAGCGGCAAAGCGCAGCCTCGTCGGCAGCACAGAAAAGAATAGCAGCAGCACTCTCGCAGACATCACAAAGCGTCCGCATGCTTCATTTCTTCGATCAAACCCTAATTTGCTCAATTGGAACAGAATGGGTGGAAACGATGCTCGGGAGGAAGGGGGTTTTGACTGTGGTGTGTTTTAAGTAAGGGTAATGGCGACAGCAACAACGATGGTCTGTCTGAGTGTGGAGGGTTCTAGAAAATCTGAAAATGGTACGACGTTGGGACAGTGAAGGCCCACAATGAGATGGATTCTTGGGGGGACGATTTGGTGCCACATATCCCAGAGTGCGGGGAGAAGGGTGGGGGTGGGTGTGGGCTGGCTGGATTGCTTCCATCAGCCGGTCTTAGCCACAAATTGAATATCTAAAGAGAGGACTTACAGACTGAATGGCCCAGCGCGAGCACCATGGACGGACGGACAGCTAAGCTACGTCCTGCTTCTGCTTCTTTAATATTTTATTGGATAAGTTATACTCCCTCATTCTTTGGGTTGTGTTTCTTTAGGGTGGTGTGATGTTCAGGGAAGTTTAAAAAAAAATCTGAGTTTGAATTTGATTTTTATTTGAATTTAAAGATAAGAGTTTGAATTTGATTTTTATTTGAATTTAAAGATAAATTTGAATTTATGTGTTTTTTTTTTTTGTATTTAGATTTGATTTGGGTTGAATTTAAAGAGTTTTGATAGTATTGATTTGACAGGTAATTATACGATCTGATTATGAATTTATATTATATTTAATATATATTTTTAAATTTTAATTTATTTGTATTATAAAAATTTTATTCTCTAAAAATGAGATATATATTATATATATTTTATTAAATTATATTCTCTCCGTCAAGATATAGTCTTGTTGTGTTGGACAAGAATATTGATATTATATTGGTAGTCGATAAAAAAGTAAAGGTAAATGTCTTTTTTGCCCTTATGAATATATTAGTGTAAAAAATAGTGACAATTATGTAATAATAATAAAAAAATAGGGATAGTTTTATGATGATATAATTATTTATAGAAATGAAACTATTGTTTTGGGACGGACAAAAATATAAACAAGACTATTGTATTGAGAGGGAAGGAGTAACTGTTATAAATATTAAATAATTATAATATTTGAAAAAATATATATATTAAAAAAAAAAAAAAAAAAAGACCGCATATGTTGGGGATTTTTGGGAGTCGGCCAGGTTTGGGTGAAATTATTGTACAAATTGTTTGCACAATAATTTTGCTCAGACTTGGCATAAACACACCATTTATCCAAATAGATTATATTTAATATTAAAAATATTTTTAATAATATTTTGTATTATTAATATTATAAGAATTTAATGAAATATTTTTTTTTATTTATACTATATTTTCATATAATAATTAATATTTAAATATCAAATAGAACTGAATTGAGGTAGTATATGTTTTTAGTAATATTGCATATAATAGTATCTATTTTATTTATTGTGAGATATTTTTTTCTTTTCTTTTAAATTAAAATTAATACAAAATATATACTCCATAAAAAGGATATCATTTTTCATTTTTATCCGTCCTAAAATAACAACTTCCAATATATTACACAAAATGTCATTACTTTTATATCACACAATCTAACAGGGCATTTTTGTCTTTTTTACTATAATCAATATAATATTAATATTAAAAAATTTGCGTACAAAAAATAAACTTTACTTTTCTTCCGGGACGGAGGTAGTATAAATATATATATTTTTTTTATCTACAGTGATATTTGATTGTCTAATTGGGCTAATTTTATACCAATAAAATAAAATAGATAAAATATCTTAAGTCATTTTTTGAATTAAATAAATATATATAAATAATTGATGAAAGCTTAATTTTACAGCTTTTTTTAAAAAAAGACATATAACACTGTGAAATAAAGATTGATCAATTGTTAATTTATTTTATTCAAAACAAAAATTAATACATATATTTTTTTATGTATATAAAATTAGTTTATTTATAATCGAACATCAATTTTGAACGAAAATGGTGCTATGTGTCAACTTTAATTTAATACAGGAGGTTTCATACAATAAATAAAATATGAGGTATTTTGTGCAATTTTACTAAAATACAAAAGGTATTATATAATATATCATATTTTAAATTTGTTAGCATTTGTTTGTTTATAGTTTTGATTTAAAGTTTTTTAGAGGTATAAGAATTGTGTTAGTAATATAGAAAAAAATACTCTCTCCGTCCGACCTACCATGTCCACGTTGCTATTTTTGTCCGTCTCAGATCTTATGTCATTTTTATTTTTTGGAAAATAATTATACACCTTAATCTCATTTTAAATTTTTTACTTTAATTTTTTTAACTTTAATTAAACTAATTAGTTATCTTAATATTAATTTATAATGATTTATATTATAGGTTAATTATTTTCGCTAATACATTCTTAATCATTTACTAATTATATTTATCTTATATTCTCGTGTATACGGTAAGTAGGCATCCAATATAGAACGGAAGGAGTAATATTTTAGGTTGAATGTTGACTTTTGTTAAAGAATAAAATATATATATTGAGAAAAAAGTTTGGACAAACAAAGCCTTAATATTGTAAGTATGATATTATATATGGACCAAAATGAAGCATTAACCTTAAAACGAAAATATTTATATAGTTTCTTCAAAATATTTGATGATATTATACTATTTATTTGCGCATAATTATTATAGATCACGTTTTACTATTTATTTTGTCTTTAAAATAATAAGTAAATATAACGAATATTGTATTTATTCATGTTGAGATATGCAAACCTATATTTTCTATTTATATTTTTTTAAATGTGATGAACACTACAAATTTAATTTTCAAAGTAATGTATCTAGCTTGGTTTATTATTTAGATATTGTTATCCGTTATAGAAATAACATACACACACAAAAAATAGAATCTAAAAATTAACTACTATCTTACGAACTCAACTATTCATTTTCGTAAAACATCCTTTTTTTCTCCTTCAAATTTCTAATTATCACTGTCGATCATCACTCCTGTAAATTTTCGCTGCCACTATGTTGTACATCGAAGTTTCCCGACTAGGCGAAAGCATAAAAAGTGCGCAGTTTGTTAAAAATGTTGAAAAAGGGTCCAAAAAGTAAGTTAAAATTTTTGTATTTGGTAAAATTGATAATTTAGTTTTGTAATTTCGAATTGTTTGTATGTTTGATCTCTTTGTCTTGTGCTTCTGTCGGATTTGTAGAAGCCTCAGTGTTGGTTAAATGTACTTCAACATTGTATCCCATCATAGTTTGAAATGTAAATTATTTTGATATATTTTAAATTATAAGTGACTTTGTTTTTGTTGGGGGAGTTTACTACCTCATCAGATCCCATGAGAAATACCAACTTGTTCATTTGATATATTTTAAATAAGAAATTAGATTCATATATAATTGCGGTTTAAAATTGAGTAGTTGACTTATATACTACTAAATGAATTTCTTATGCTTGCTTAATATTCTGTCAAATCTGAAATGAAGTACAAAGGATTTCGTAACTAAAATTCTTTAGCTATAAAATTAAAATTTATAAAAAAAGATTTTTAGCTACAAAATATGTATGGTTTTTTTAGTTAAATGATTTTAGCTATAAAAAATAATTTTGTAGGTAAAACCTTTCTGGCATGAATATAGAATTTTCTAACAAAAAGGTTTTAGCGACGAAATTAATTTTGTAGTACATAATTTTTTTTAGCGATAAAATTAATTTTTATTGCTAACTAACACGTTTTAACTATAAAAATATTTCGTAGTTAAAAATATGGTAGTTGATTAGATATTTTTTTTGTAGTGAGATGTCGGTATAAACAAATTGGTTTTACTTTGTAGTTGGTTGTGATAGTATAGAACGACAGTAAATTGGCAACATGTGACAGTGGTAGCTATTTGAGTTGCTTGAGATTATAGGTTGATGTTCAATTGTATAAATTTTAGTGTGCTTTGCATAAACTGTTGAACGACATATTACCTACTTATACTCGCTTATCATATTTTATCTTGAGAGTTAATGACACAAATAGAATGTGTTGATTACGTATTTAAACAATTATATGTACTTTTTAATAGACATGTATCTCGTTGATGAATATATGTTCCAAGAAAAGTTACATATTCTCATTACATAAATATACATACTTCTGATAATAATAATAAATTTCTATCAATTAAGTACATATCTATGAAAAAACAACTAATTGCTTAGAAAAAGATTCTTAAATGATCATATTTAGTATCATAATATTTCAGTGAACCGAATGAATGGCTTGTGTATTATACATATAACTTAATGGTGTAGAAAATATTGATCGTCCGTTGTCCATTTACACATAAACCATGAGTATTGTTGCCCAAAACTCTAATATTTAAACCCTACATTTTATACCTTAAATAGTTAAACTTTACATGTATACGTCTTGACCATTGTACGAACTAACTCTAATATTTAAACCCTACATTTTATACCTTAAATAGTTAAACTTTACATGTATACGTCTTGACCATTGTACGAACTACATGAATAATAAAACTGTCGGGGAGTATGCGTGTTTACAAGAATTTCAATATTATTGCCCTCCTCAATCCTTCAATAATACCTTGTAAACCTAGAATTGTTTTGCAATATTATAGGTTATCCGTTGTCTATTTACCAATTATTAATAATATTTTTCATTCAAATTCATATGTTATTAGATATAAGTGTATCTCCACATAAGTTGTTGATAGAACATTGGTTAGAATGATGTTGGCAATATAAAAATCATGCAAGTTTTAAGGATTCAAATTTTTGTACACCAATATACCCGTAGTCGAAGGACATATGCCTCCACAACATTTGTATATATGTCTAATATATATTCATACATTTACTGTTACGAGGAAAAAAAAAAAAGAAAAATCTCTCTTAATATAGTACATACTCCATAATACAATTGATATATCTATAAAAAGTATGTAAATTTTATACCTTTATGAACCGATAAGATTGTTTATTTAATATAAGTTTAATTCGATGGCACATGAGAGATTAGGTAGTCCTTGATTTATTTATGTACAGAGTAAAAGTATTTTATCCATAAAATATATGTTCTAAATCCAAAGAGCATGGGACTCTATACCACAAATCGTAAAATCTAAATCCTAAACCATTCAACATATATGTGTATGAGATAGCTCAATTTAGATTGTGCGGAGTGTATTTATTTGTTAGATGTTGCATATAATAAAAATTTTAATATCAACCACATCTTTAATCCTTCAATAACATCTTGTAAACCTAGGATGTCATAGAAATACTATTAAATAGACCATTTTTCTTTTGTATATTTACCAATAATTAATGGGTAGTTTATTATGTTAACATTTTACTCAGCGTAATTGTATCTTTACAAAATTGATAATACATTGGAAATATAAAAATCATGCAAGTTCCAAAAATTCAGCATATTATGCACCAATATACCTATAGTCGAAGGATATATACTTTTATAAATGTTGTATAAATGTCTAACATAACTTTGCTTACCCCCACTAACATTGGGAAACCCCTATTAATATAGTATATCCTATAAAATGCTACCTATGAAAATTGAAAAGTATTTAAATGGTCATGTTTAGTATACAAATACTCATATGGACCATTTTTTTTTTTAAATGTAAATATGATTTAACAGTGCAGCAAGAATTACTTGTTACCTGTCTATCCCAAACTCTAAATCCGAAACCTTATCCCCACGCACTAATCCAATACCTTAAACCCTAAATATTAAACTCCAAACCATTTTAAAACTTGAAAGATAAGAGCCATTTTGATAATCCAACAAAAATGTCATTGAAAAAATCAATTATAATTGATTACTAGAGATGTTTTCTTGTCATTTGTTATATCATAGATTCTCTATAATTCCATTTAGCAATGATTGATTGGACTGTTATGTTTTTATAAAAGTTTTGTAGTTATACATGTATCTCATTGACACCAAGTGCTAATATGGTAATTAGGATGTCGTTGGAAATTAAAGAATCTTACAAGTTTTAAAGTTGTGTACACATATACTTATATATCAATAATTTATACTAATGTATACATCATAAGACTCGTAAACTTAGGTCACAATATTACATGTTTCAAAAAGTTACGCATGTGTATTTAAGGCAATTATATGTTCATATTTAATATCCATATACCCAATGGAATAAAATGGTTGGTTGTGTAACGTACGTACATTGCGATCAAACTGTATAGATTGTTTGATTATTTGTTCAATTACACATCTTCAAAACTATTGTAGCCATATCACAAATAATAAACTTTAAACCTCAAGCCTTAAACTTTAAATCCCAAACTCTAGACCATCCAAAAACTCAAAATAGAAGAGACTACATTGATAATAAGATAAAAATATCATCGGCAAAATGAGTTATACATGACTAGTAGAGAGGTTTCCTAATCATTTTTCTCAATTACACAGTTTCTTATAATCTTTTGGCAATGGTATAGGTTTTTCATATCTCAATATAGAATGATTGATTAGGTTATTGTGTCTCTATCCAAATTTCGTAATTATAAATAATACATCTTACTAATATCATATAATAGTACACTGACTAGGATGTTAATGAAAAATCAAATAAGATTATATGTTTTGAAGATTCAGCCTAGTGTATGAATATATATCTATGTATTAAGAATATATAATTATATATATATGATGCACACTCTAAAGCTTCTAATACATATCACAGTTAATTTATAATAAACTTATTTTATTGTATTATATGCCCCACTTATTAAAGACAATTTGATGTTCATATTTAATATTAAGATCACTTAGTAGAACAAAAGAAATGATAATTAGTATGCATGCGATTCAATTAGACTGCAGAGTTTCTTGCCAGATGAATGCCGAATTGTTACAACTTCAGAGTTACTTGGCGGCTGCAAGACAGTATTGCGACAGTTGAAACACCACTTGGAGCATGCTCAACATCACATGGTGCGGGTAGCCAACACCCATCGTCGTGAGCTCATCTTTCAGGTTGGTGATTTGATATTCTTGAAGGTCAGACCCTATTGCCAAGGCAGCTTGCGCCAGGGCACCATTACAAGCTAATGCCCAGATTTTATAGACCATTCTACATCCTTCGCTGTATAGGAAATGTCGCATATAAGTTGTATTTGCCGGCTACTAGCCACATCCATCTCGTGTTTCATGTATCTTAACTTCGTCGAGTGTCCGACGATCACCTAGTTGAGCCTCATTTATTCGATAGCCTAGAGGTCGAGCAACTGCCTGTTTACGATCCTGAAACTATTCTGGACCAGACGGCTGATCAAATGTGCCGGAGGTATGGTTCCTCAAGTCCTGATTCAGTGGCACAGTCTTCATCCAAATATGTGACTAGGATCGACGAGGAACAGTTCTGTGTTTAGTTCCCAACCTCCTGCCACGAGAACAAGACAGTTCTTAAAAAAAATGCAAACCAAAAGTTTATTCACAACAAATGAGGAAAGAACAAGTACGCTTTGAGTTAATTGTGGCAATAAGTTGAAGCTTAAAGTTTATTATTAAGTACCTTAGGGTGTGTTTGTTTAGGAAAAAAAAAAGAAAAATAATTATTTGATATAATATTTTTAGAGAAAAAAAAATCTGAATAGTAAAAATTTGTGGTAAAAACCACAAAAAAGAACACAACCTTAGTTTTTTATTCTTCTTGGTCAAACCTAGGCCTATAGAAGTTTTGACCTAGTATTTAAACATTATTTTGAAGCATTATTAATCATTCTGATTTCTCTCAGTTCCCAGTTTGGGCTTGGTTCGGGAAGAATAGTTCTTTCTAGATTGTCAATAAAGTTTAGTCTTTTAGTTCTCCTAAGACCTCGTACTATCAGAGATGTTGACTTACTATTTCAAATCAATTTCAAACCACCAAGAAACACGAGCGCTGAATGATTGACCAATGTGTGTTTGGTTAGTTGGTTGGATTTTTACTTTGAAATTTGAGTTACAAGAATTTTATTTACCTAGTAATTAATTTTTACTTTGAAATTTGAGTTACAGGAATTTTATTTACCTAGTAATTAATTTATGCTATAATATATGTAAAATTAAAAGAAGATTAAAACATGTATTTAAATGTTATAAAAACTATATTTACGATATGAATATCATTTTATAAAGACTAACATTTTATATGAGACAAATAAATAAATAAATAATATTTATTTATTAAGAAGAGGAATAGAAACAAGAATTTCAAGTAAATCACACACAATGTAGTATTATATTTTAAGGGGGGGAAATTGAGAGTATAATGCCAATTTAAACCCAAACGGTAACCGAACACACACACCTTCAATTGCTGTCAGCACCAGCATCCTTGCTATCCTGTCAATCAATACAGGGGAGGGTAACATATAGTAGTTTTTATATAATTTCAAAACAGAAAACAAAAAGGTTCAATTACCAAAAGAATTGCACCTCCAGTGCTTTTAAGAATTTAGCAGTTCCACTTTGTGCAATGGTGCCAAGACAATCAACAAGCTCTTGACATGTCATGTGAATACCAGTATCTCTGGAGAAAAACCATGCATTAGACAGAACAATGTAAAATTAAAGAATGGCTCATGTTTCACAAATTAACATAATTCTAATTACCTTTTTCATATATTGGATTCAGATTCAGATATCAAGAATAAGTGCATCTTTCAAAAGCCCAGGTTGGGTAACACCAAGAAACCCCAGTCTGTCCAAGCCATCACTTGAATTGCTGTGGGTTAAAATTTCAGTTTCTCAGCACTTAACAAATAGTACTTTTATGGTCATTAGCAAAGACAGATAAACACAGCTGGCAAAGATGATCTTGCATGTCAACAGAATAGAAGTATGCTCCATGTAAATATTAAGGAACCCTTAGGGCTTGCTTGGCAATATCACTTATGGTGCATCTGTACAGAGAATGGAATTATAGAAAAATACTTTTAAAAAATAGAATTGTAGATAGCAACATCAAGTGCACCTTGCAAGGTGACATCAGGAGTTCAAAAGCATCCAGACAAGAGCACAGAAAGATAACCCCAGATATTTTCTTCTTAAGTATCTTCTGTCCCAGTTACCAATAGTCTTTACATGAACAAATTCCATTCTGAAAATGATGGAATCGGTATGCATCACGAACTATAATAGTTCGATCAACAACCTTTGTTACAAATTTAATCCAATTATGGCAGTCATTACAAATCCGTAGATTCTTCATGACATGCAAGGGAATCACATCAGACAAACTTAGAAGTCCAAAAGCTATAGCCAACTTTTCACTGTGAATTTGTCGACCAGGGTCCTTGTGGTCAAGCTCCATATCATTCCAAAGGCTATTACGGTCTTGGACATAGCCAATTGAAGCTACTTTTTTGTTTATCTCCTCCAAATATATATAAATCTCCTCTGCTCGAGGGTGGAGTCTATCACCTACAAAGAATGCATTAACTGAATTATTTACTTCAATCCAACTTCTACCAGGCTCTTTCTTCACACCCCTGACTCTCATGAGTAATCTTGCTTGATCTCGATAATGCCATTTACCAGTAACAGCATACAGATTTGACAAAAGAACATATGTAGCAGAATCTTTAGGTTCTAATTCTAAAAGATTTTTCGCCGCAACTTCCCCAATTTCTATGTTCTTGTGAACTGTACAGGCACTTAAGAGGGTCCTCCACACCATTGAATCTGGTTTAATTTGCATAGACTCAACAAATTTTTTGGCACGGACAACTTGACCCGCCCTGCCAAGAAGATCAACCACACATGCATAATGTTCATGTTTTGGGTTCAGGGCATGTCGTTCACTCATGGAATAGAAGTAATTAAGCCCCTTTTCCACCAAGCCTACATGGCTACAGGCTGACAAAACTCCCACATATGTGATGTGAGTTGGCATCATTTTCATCAAGTTCATTTCCTCAAAGAGCTCTATAGCTTGCATGCCATATCCGTGCTGAGAGTATCCGGTGATCATTGCATTCCACGAAACTTCATTTTTCTGAGGCATCTCAATGAATACTCTCCTAGCACCATTGAGGCGTCCACATTTTGCATACAACGTGATTAATACATTGCATACTTCAGTCTCACAATCATACCCTGTTTTAATAATTCGAGAATGAATTTGCCTGCCAAGTTTTAGATTGGTCAAACTTGCTGCTGCACTGAGGCAAGACCCATAGGTGAACATATTAGCTTCCTCGGATGCCTGAACCATTTGAGAGAAGAACTTCAATGCTTCCTCACACTTTCCACTCTGTGCAAAACCTGATATCAATCCATTCCACGAAACAATATCCTTAGTGCACATTTTCTGAAAAGCAGAGAGTGCCTCTGGTACACAACCACATCTAGCATAGAGCCATACAAGTGCATTTCCGATGGAAATATCAAGTGAGTACCCAGAAGTAGTAGACTGACAATGAATTTGACGTCCTTGGCTGATAGCTTGCAATCCAGCACATGCACTTACAACACTGGCTAATCCAATGTTATCTGATTGAATCCCTAGTTCTTGCGATTCCTTAAAAATTTTAAGGGCCTCGGCGAACTTATCCTGTTGCGCATATCCAGATATCATAGCTGTCCAAGACACAATATCATCTTTACTAAAATGCCTAAATATTTTCAGGGCTGTTTCCAATTTTCCAAGCTTAGCATACATGTCTATGAGTACACTACAAACATACACATTTGGCTGGAATCCAGTCTTTACAATATGTGTATGAACTTGCTCCCCAAGATTAATTGCTCCAACAGATGTACATGTTCTTAGAATACTAGGAAATGTATATTGATTAGGTTGCAGACCTTTGCTCTGCATATATAGATAAAGATTGAGTGACTCTTGGAGATTGCCCATTTGTCCATATGCCACCAGCATGACATTCCATAGCACAATATTATCCTTTTTTGTTGATATGAAGAATTTATGTGCTGTTTCAACATCAGAGCATTTAACATACAGGTCCAGCAAAGAACCCTCAATGATGATATCAGAACACATGCCAGTCTTAATAGCATATGAATGCAGTTGGACTCCCTTGTGAATAACCCCCATTGATGCACAAGTGCTCAAAAGACAGGCAACGGTAACACAGTCAGGTTTTAAGAACTCATTCCGCATTTTTTCAAATAATAGAAGAGATTTCTCATCCAATCCTTGCATAGAAAATCCAGAAATCAAAGTGTTGTACGCAACTTTATCCCTATGCTGCATTTCACAGAAAATCAGTTCAGCAGATGATAAATTCCCACATCTAGAATAAAGCGAAACAAGAGAGTTGCAAACATACAGCTCTGATGAAAATCCCCACTTGAAGATTAGAGCATGAAGTTGCTCCCCAACAACAGACAAGTTTATCTTGGTGCAGGCACTTATGATGCTTGAAAAAATATAAGGAGTAGGGAACACTCCAGACCTTCGCATCTCAGAGTACAGGTGGATAGCATCTAATTCACGACCACTTTGAGATAAGCCTGATATCATGGCAACCCACGTAGTGCTGTCTCTTGAATGCATATTTTTGAAAATATGAATTGCAGAATTAACATATTCATTTTTTATGTACAAATCAATCAGTGGATTACAGACAAGCAGGCTTGAACTGAAACCTAGACGGATGATCTTAGCATGAAGCTGTTGAACAACATCAAAGGAAACTTTTGCAGCACTGCAAGTATGCAAAATATCGGCGACAGCACCATCATCAACAATAATACTCCTGCAAAGAATGCGTGAAGACAGGCTGCATAATTCACTGTATGGTTCTTGATTTATGCATGAAGGTCTCATTTTATTCAAGGAGAGCAAATCCCTACATCCTGAAAAATCATCTGGAGCCTGTAATTCACAAGAATAGCCACATAAAAACAATTGATTAATGCACAAGAGCCAAAGTACACTATTTGTTAATGTCCTTGAAACCCATAACATTTAGCAATAAGAGGCTCCATATCACAGGATCCAGAGACCAATAACTCCTTTTGGCTCCCAACCAAAATTTTGAACAGTCATGGACATAATATGAGCATGCTGCATTTGTTAAGAATAGATAAATGCCATAATAGCACATTAAGAACACGTACAGATGTCCATGTGAGCATTTAACAAGCCAAATATAACCACATAAGCAAGCAATACTTAACAAATGCAGCATGATCACTAACTTTTGAAATATAAAGATACTGGTCAGGCTCTCAATTGGTTAACGTTTTCCATTGCTGGGACAAAAAAGAGACCTTAACACATCAAAAAATAAAATAAAATTGAATTCTCTGTCCTTCCAGAACTGTGCAATAAATTCAGACAATATCCCTTAATACAAAGTTCCAAGAAGCAAAAATTTCGTGCATTTAGTCATTAATTTTCGGACAAAGTCCACACCACAAACTTTGCTCCTTGTAACTCTGCAAACAACTGATCGTGTATCGTTAAATTTTACCATGGGGCGAATCCCGGGGACTTTCTCCGAATTCTGATGTGTAGGAAGCACAGGTCTCCCCTCGCAGGCCTCTCTTGGCGGTCCATCTACTGGCGTCTCCTCAATTTCGACAGCGACAGGCCAGAAATTCACCTTCCTCACGGTTTCGCCCGGATAAAAACGATTGAAACCAGTAAAAGACGGGGAAACAGCAAACACGTTGAAAAGGCGCTTAGCGGAAACCCTCAGAATTACTTTATGGCCAAGAAACATATCCGAGCAGAGATACCAGCTGCTGCTGCAAGAAACTGTTTCGTGCCCCAGCCTTCCAAAAAACATCTGGATGTGTTTGTTTGAGGTTTCTATTCTAACAGGGTTGCAACTGTACGCTGCAATTCAACCCTGCTAACAGGCCTATTGAATGTAGTAGGCTGCACCTATGCGTCATTTTATATATAGATTTTCCTTTAAATTTTTGGTTTTATACGTGGGGTGTGAGACGATTAACGTAGATGAGGACGGGAGGGAAGACAAGGAGTTGTAGGAAAAGCCAGTGGAGAAAAGGAGAGTGGAAGACGACGATGCAAGCACTTAGGAAGGGCTTCTTTGATTGTTTAACTACATACAAAATTTCATTGGAAAAAAAATTCCGACCTGCCCAATCGACCTAAGGACGGGAAGAAAAGCCGATGCAGTTAGGGAGGGCTTTGGATTAGGGTTTTCTTGTACAACTGCATATAAAATTTAATTGGAAAAAAAATCCGACCTGCCGGATTCGAACCAGCGACCTAAGGATGACAGCATTCATACTACAGTCCTCCGCTCTACCAACTGAGCTAAGGTCGGCTACGGAAACTAATCACAAATTTATTTATTTATTTAAATTTATATCTATATATCACAGAAACTGTGGGACTGTGACTGAGCTCAACAAATTAAATTAAATTTTTAATTTAAATGATATTGAACTAATAAATACTCTCTCCGTCGCAAAATTATAGTATGGTTGTCTTTGAGACGAAATTTAAGAAATATTGATATTATATTGGTATTAAGTAAAAAGTACGGATAAAAGATTTTTTGCCCTTGTGAGTGTATTAGTGTAAAAAGTAGTGGCAATTGTGTAATAATAAGTAAAAAATAAGGGTAATTTTATAATGATATGATTATTTATGAAAATGAGACTATTGTTTTGAGACAGACAAAAATGGTAAACAAGACTATTGTATTGGAACGGTGAGTTCATCGTAAAATAATTAAAATGTGCATTAATATTTCTGGAATTAGTATAGTAATCAATCTCAAACATACACACATATATATACACACACTTAAATATATATTAAGATGCTCTCTTCCCATCAAATAAAGTGTATAAGATAATAGTTTGTGTTACATTATTCAGGAGTATGAATTAATTTTTAGAAATTAGTGTCTCTATAAAAATGAGTCCATATATTCTTCAACAATGCCTATTCATTTAATCTTAACAAAACTTCCACACTTGATTTGCAAGATTCAAAATCAATGTAATCCAAGGTAATGGAAAGCAACAAGAAAGAGTTGGGAAACAAAAAATAAAATTTGTTTACAGTCTTAAGATTGATGTGATATAAATATGTGGTTGTTATGATATTTAAAATAAATTTTTTATTTTTATTTAATATTTTAAATGAAATATATATATATATATAGTTGATTGAATTTTTTTTTTTATTTTTGTTAAAAAGAATAATGAATAATGTGAGATCTAGTCCAAAACTATGAACAAACAAATCTATACGAGGGTTTGGATTTTGAGTTGGGATTTGAATAGTAAAAATTTTGAATTTGAATAGTTGTATGATGTGGTATAAATAGAAATTGATGTGATATTTTGAATGTAAAATTGATTTTTAGTATAATATAAAAAAATGAAAGATAGGTGTTTAATTATTTTTGAGGAAAAAAAATAGAATGAATATTGTATTTAAAATCTAATCCCCAAACAAACACACTTCGGACCTCTCCGAGACCATCACAAAAAACGTCCCCATGTACCCCAATATATGTATACAAAGTAAAAGTTTTAAAATTTTTATAAGATGTATTTAAGTTTTTAAATTAACTAAAATTTATTTATTTAAAATAAATAAATTATTTTGATATTGACTTATATTTTAAATTTATTTTACTAGTTATGTGTTTTTTTGTATTTTCTATAATGTATTTGTATAGTATTTATAATGTTTTGTATTTTAGTAATGAGGTATGATAAATTGTGAAGGTATCATAAGAAAATAAAAAAAAAAAAAAAAAAAAATTGTGTGTTTTTTATTTTATTTTATTATATAATATTCACTATTGCAAATATTTTTTTATAATAGTTTTAGAAAATTTTGTATTTTATAAATACTAAGAAAATATATTCTTATTTTTACTACTTAATGACATTAAATAGATTTTCAATTTAAATTTTTTATTACTCTAAAAATACATAAAAATATCCAAGAACACAACTATTTGGGTGAGTTCATCGAATGAATTTTTCTGATGCATTCTGTGATTAATATCACTAGAAAATAAAATATATTATTTAGAAAATATCAAAAATTTAATATAAAATATTATTTTTATAGTACGATATATTTTTTATATCTAACATAAAAAATAATTCAAATTAAAAATAATAAACGAATACACTCTTTATATTTTGATCATCTGTGTCTTAGCATTGTTTTTACTTTAACCCTTGACGTTTATCACTGCATTGAAAATATTTTCAAAAATATTCTTCTCGGCATATGTAACATTGATCTTGTGTCGAATCAAGTTCGACATCAAGTTCAAAAATATGGTTATTTTTTTCCAACTATATAAATGAGATATAATTTTATTTATATCAGAAATTTATATTTAGGTAACCTATATAAATTCATAATCAGCCATATTCGAATTTTTACCTCCCCAAATTTTACATGCAAATAAGACATGTTTTCTTAAACTCTTTTTTTATATTCTTTATGTTCAAATGGTAAGGATGGTCGTGGAAACAAATTTTTGCTTTGTATCAAACCATGACTTCTTACACTCATTCAGTAGAGTAATAACAACTATCCGATCCTAACATATTTAGACAAGCAGTCTTTCTTGAGGTGCCCCACCTAAAAATCATCGTGTATGATAACAATTATAAGAACTAACAATATACTAACACCAATAGATGAAGAGTTTTCATCTATAGTCTACAAGAAAACAACCTTCATCATAAAGTTTTATTTATGAAAAGATTAAAATGTTTCAATCCCACTGTTCTATAGTTCATTCAGTTTCTCAATTAAGGGTTCAAATAAACATTAATCTTCTATGTAAGGTTGGCCCAATCAAGCACCACACAAGACAAAAATAGATAATCGTCTTTCAAACATATATTAGGTGGGAGATTGTATGGTGTTACAACTATGGACCAACATGAGTACTACATTTTTTACCGGTCAAATGATTGAAATTCTTCCCTGTGAAGTAATATATAGACATTTCTAGGCTCAACTCCAAATGAACGGTGTCTTTTAAATATTTCAATGTTGAATAACAAGGATGACATATATCATTGGTCTTCACATGTCAATGATTTGCATGTCAATGTATATGTGATGTTGTCTAAGATGGAACATACGATCTCTTTAGCCTTAGTGTGATCAAAAGATAAAACATATATCAAATTGGCACAACTCTCCTATTTTCTCTTTATATTGTGCTTTGCATAAAACTTGCAATTTTCTAGATCAACATTCTCCTTTCAGTAAAATATGCAAGCGAGTTGACAACAATCTATTTTCTCACATGGTAATTCCAACCTCTCAATCAATTTCTTTATTTCGTGAAATTTTTTATGAAACAGTTGCTCTCGGGCATTACATCATGCACGAGTTGACATTGGACATCAAACTATCGTTCAGACAAGTTGAAGCCAACTTTAATATTTAGCATTCTTTCCATTATTGACAACAAAGTTGCTTTGGTACAACCAGACCATAATTCAACAGCTTGAAGGAGGTTGTACAATTTTTTGCCTTAAAGATTAGGTTCTTTATCGTGTGTCACTCGAGCCTTAAATGTAGACCCTCCGAAATTCATCACTGGTATAATCTCTTATCGTTTCATCAATCATTTTTTTTTTAAGTCACTCCAATCATGCAGTAGTTTAGGAGTTCATCTATTCCACTAATAAATTTACTATTTAGAATACCATTACACATTCTATTATACATTCAAGACATTCTCGGAATTATCATGTCTAAATAATTTGTTACTGAAAGAAGTATATAAACAAATGTTCACAAAATTAATATTTTCGACTGTAGATGTTGCACAAAGTACTAATATTGGTTAAACTAGTTAGTTAAATTTAACATGCATACCCTCAAAACATTCAATATCCACAATATTTGGAACATTCCACTTGCTCATACTTTCTATATTACTCCAAATAATATTAGTAATTTAAAATTGTTCATATACATAGATTTAATTTTAAAAATGAAATTTTTGTATATGGAATATAATTTTCTAAAAAATAAAATATTGACAAAACTGTAGTTCTAACCTAATTAAATTATGTCAATGTAAATATAATGTAAAAATCTATAGTCATATACAAAATATAAATTCTCCTAACAAATTAAATAATGTAGTGATAAAATATTTTTTTATAAGGGAACATAAATCAATTCCCGAGTGACATACAAGACTTCCTATTGAGCAAGTAATTCCTTAACCGCACCACAATTCACTAGGAGTTCACTATAGAAATATAAATACGATTATTACAGTATACAGTAAAAATATTCAATGTCAACTAAAATTGAAATCATATTATCAAATTAAAATATTATCAACATATTAAAACAACAAAAGAAGATGGATAGTAAGGATTGTCCATGAGAGGACAAAACAATGTATTTTAACAAATAGAGGTATGAAGAATGTTATGAGTGATGGAACGCAGATTTCCAATGGGCAAAGGACCATAGAACAATGATTGTACTAGGTATGAAGAATGGTATGAGTGATGGAATGTAGGTTTCCAATGGGCAAAGGACCATGGAACAATTATTTTCCTAGGGAGGAAGACGGACAAGAAAGGTGAGGACTAGCATATGGATCAATAAACTACGAGAAGTAAAGTTTTGCCTATAAATCTAGAAATCACAAGGGACCTATGACATATGGATCCTTAGAGGAGGATTTAGACATCTTACTCAAGAGGTCATTGATACCTCTATAGAGTAAGCCTAAGAAATAGAAAAAAATATCAATTTCTTGACCAAACATGATGACTTGGTTGATGGGTTTGGCCTTTGTTACTAAGCCTTTGAAAAGTAAAGAAAAGTAGTTTCGAAATCAGAAGAAGAGCAAGACAGTATTCTCTAGAGGTTCATTGGAGCCAAACATAATGTCAGCAACCATAAACTAGTTCGATATGGTCTTTTTATTATAAAGTTTAAAAATTGCAAAAAAGTGGCATTGTCTACAGAAACTAGGGTGGTTTCAGACCTTTCACCAGAAGTCTTAAAACGATTGTTATATCTAAAACAGTGAGACTAAGCGTACCAAATGGAAAAATGAAAGCATTTATATGAGAATCCCAAAAGTATAATAAAACTTTAATCAATTTATTATCGCGGGGGAAAAGATTCATGCATAACATAATCATATCACAAACTTCTCATTCCTTCCATAGATGACTAAAGAA